CGCGCCGATGGCTACCTCTCCATCGACAACGTGCCCATCGTCCGCATCCAAGTGGGCTCCCGCCCTGAGATTGCGACCAAGTTCCAATGGTCTGATGCTGCTGATGGCGTCGGCCTTACTCCTGCGATGCGGTCTTCTTGTGCCGACGCCCTTGCCGCTGCCTTCGCGGATGCAGCCACATCAGCGTCGTGGATTTAACAGCAAGTGGACTCCATGGAACGCGACTACCGCATCATCTATGACCGAATGCTCGGTGGTCAGCTGGAACGCCCAGGCGCTGGTACACTCGAACATCGTCAAGCGCGACGCCAAACTCTCCATCCTCAAGCCCTACCTCGCCAAGCGCTCCCTCATTGCCATTCAGGAGACACACGGCACCTCGCAGATGATTCACAGCCTCATCAACTCCACGGGCGCAAAGTACGACGTCTACCACAGCGGCATCCCCGACTCCAATGCGGCGGGCGGCGTCGCCTTCCCCATCCCAAAGTTCGTCCCCAGCAGCGACCAGGACAACACCAAGCCGTTGATCAACTTCTTCGTGGTCATCCCTGGCCGAGTTGCCGAACTGCGCATCCGCGACCCCAGCCTGGTGTACCTCCATATCTACCTCAACATTCATAACCATGATCTCTCCGCAGATGACCGAAGACGGCTCAAGTCCACGTGGCAAGTGGCACTGAATGAACCTAACAACGATCCTGAACACGTGATGTTCTTCATGCTCAGCGACTTCAATATCTCTGAACTACCCGCTCGCAATTTACTACGCCCTGTCGTAGCGCCTGCCCACGAACGATACCAGTTCCAGCCCACCTTCTGGAAGCAGCTTTTCCGACCGCTGGTCGAGATCTGCACGCCATCCACCACCCACCGCTGCTACGCGAACAACACCGAGTCGAGCATCGATCGCTTCTTCACCTCCTTCCTGGCACACAATCTCACCCACATTGAGACGATCATGGTTGCCGACGACTCGCCACTCGAACGAAAGGGAATACCTGCCAGTGACCATAAACTTCTTCATGTTCGATTCCGCCCCCGAATTCAACGGCCCCATGCTGGACGAGGCATCCCCGCCTACCTCTTCAACTCCGACTTCTACAAGCTCTTCATCGACAAGCTCTCCGCCGACACCGAGTACGACACGCTCACGCCCATCATCAAGTGGCGCACGCTGAAATCCAACATGACGAACGCTGCGAAAGCCACGCGAGATGCTCTTGCGCGGCTACCGCCTGAAGTTCTCGCACGCGACCATCTCTCGATCTCCAAGGAAGTCAACTCGATGACCATGAGAAGCATCTCGCGCGCGGTCTGGTACCAGGACATCAAGCTCGCGCGCCTCCTTATCGACACCACCCACCTGGGCTCCAAGCACTTGCAGATCATCATCGACAACTCTACCGACATCCCTTCGAGCAAGGTTTGCCTTATCAACGCCAACGCCTTCGCCGATGCCGCTGCTGAAGCTCATGCTGCTGTCGCTGAAGAACGTCGCGCCCTCGCTGCCGCACGTGCCCGTGATGCTTATCAACGTCTACAGCGTCGACAAGGGGACAGGTGGCGGAAACGGGCCAGTGCCACACGCAGACTTGGAGAGCTGTGGAAGCCTTTCTCCAAGCGTCTGGTGCTCGCTGGCATCCGAATCTCGCAAGGCAGCCCCTCCGGCATTGCCAAGACGCCGACGGACATGCACGACGCTATACTAGCGCACTGGGGCCCGATCTTCGCTGACAAACCAGTGAACATCGCCAACATGAACGTCTACCTGGACTCTGTCTTCGCCCAGCGCGACTCTGTTGCGCTAGAACTCCCCAACGCTGAAGAACTACAAGACGCAGCAAAACGAGCACATGACTCCGCCGCAGGTCCCGACGGTCTTCCTTACAAAGCTTGGACGTCCACCCCCAACAGTTTCGAGATCCTGGAAGAGCTCGTGGCCAACATCTCGGTCAACAACATCATCCCGCACGATTGGAACCACGCACTACTCGCCATGCTTCCAAAAGGTGATGCGCCTGCAGGACACTCTGAATGCTATCGGTCGCCAGACCAACTCCGCCCTCTCGCGATGAAGAACACCGGCGTAAAGATTGCTGTCTCCGCCATCAACCGCAAGCTCCATCCGATAGTCAAGCAAGTGTCGAGTATCCAACGAGGTTTCGTTCCTGGCCGCCAACTCCTCAACAACATAGTCGAAGCCGACACGTACAGCCGCATCTACAGCACCATGGACAACGCCGCCGTGCTCATGCCGTGCTTCCTCAGCATGGACATTGCCGCCGCCTTCCCAAGCCTGCTTCACACTTGGTTATGGGAAGTGATGTGCAGATGGGGGATTGGTGGCCGCGTCCTTCGCCTCCTCCAGTCCTTCTACGCCTCGCCCATCGCCTTCCTCGAGCTGGGAGGCACACGTCGACCATTACTCGTTGCAGCCAGCGGCGTAGCCCAGGGCTGCCCACTCAGTGGCACCATCTGGGCCCTGGTATTCGACCCCATCCTACGCGGAATTCAACGCCACTTTTCTCAGATTGGCCGTGGCATGGCCAGTGCTTGTGCCGACGACATTGGTTGTGTTTTAGCGCGCTTGCGTGACATGCAAGGCATCCTACCGCATACCGAGGCGGCCCACACACTCGCGGGGCTGATGCTCCAACCTCGGAAGTGCGTGCTCGTCCCAGTCTGGACCAACAGCTTCGAAGACGTCGACAACACCATGCGCGACACGCTCGGGGCGACCAACCCCGCCTGGGCCCAATTCAAGATCGACGGCAAGGCCAAGTACCTCGGAGTCTACATCGGCCCGTGTGTTGATGATCGTGCACAATGGGCCGCCCCTGCGGCCAAGTGGTACCACCGCACCCAGATATTGGGCGACGCCTCCGCGGCCATCCAGCTGAACGTCTCGCTGTACAACACCTCCGCGATCACATGCCTCACCTACGTCGGACAACTGTTTCCAGCTCCAGAACTCGTTCTTTCTAAAGAAATCCATGCCCTTCATAAAGTTATCAGATCTGATCCTTCAGCATTCGCCAAGCTCGACATCCTCGGCGTGACGAACTGGGCGGGCTGCGCCATCCCCATCGGCGTCGAAGTCCTGCTAGCTGCCACGCTGTGGCGCTCTGCTACTTCCACCATCAACGTCTGGCCCCAGCTTCTCGAGCTACACCATCAGGCAGCAGTTGAACAGCTTCCACTCGCACAAGTTGTCCAGGGACTTTGGACCGCGCCGTGCTGGGCCTCCGCTACCTCGATCGCGCAGCACCTGCGGGCGGCCAAGTTCGGCGACAACTACTCCACCCACAAGGGCACCATCTTCAAGATCATCAAACGCAGCCGCCACCACGATCATCAGGCTCACCGTCAGCTACGCCAAGCTCATGAACTCGCCCGTGCCGCTGCTCTTCGTGTCCTGGACAAACTTCGCCGCGCTGAAGATGATCCTCCGAAGAAATCACCACAAACCACATACATGATCACGCTGCAGCGCTCGCTCTACGAAGACTATTTCGACGCCACCATCGCCGCCCGCCTTCGGGCCTGGTTCCCCACCCTCCCGTCGGCGCCGACTGCTACCATATCCGACTCAGGACGCCTCCAACGATTCCCACCACTTCTTTCACAAGTTCCCAACACGCCTGATGACGATGACAACGACATGCGAAACGCAGCCAACGAGCTCGAGACCATCGCCGGATGCATGCAGCATTGGGCCTCCGACTGGCTGCCTTCGATATACCTCACACAACAACACCATGAATGGGACGTCGACGACTGGCATGAATGGTACGAAACCTTTATTCTTCGTCATCTCCGTCGTGGCGGTCTTCAAGTCCTTTTTCGTGGTCAAACAGATGCCCAACTCCGTCGGCGTGCTGAACGTATTTGCGCGCAGGTATGGCAGTCAACCGCGGCCTCCAGACTCCAGACCACCGCTGCGTTCAACCTCCCCCGTGACGCCGAACTACAGCAGAGGTTCGATCGCGCAGCTGCCGAACACCATGCTCGGCGTCGCTGGATCCACGACGCCGACTTCCAGAACAACGACTCGGGCTCCACGCCCGTGATCACCGACGATCTCACCAGCGCGTACGCAGACGACAACGACATGACCTCCCTCATCCAATTACCGTTCAACGTGAAGACCGCGTGGAACCGCCTCCGCCCGAAGCTCGCCGAGTTGCCGCTGTCGCGCTTCTGGCCCGTGATGAAGACGCTATCGGGCGGGTGGGCCACGTCTTACCGCATGCACGTACAGCCTATCCTTCGTGGTTGCGTTCTTGGCTGCAACCCAAAGTTTCACCCTGACTCTTTCAGCCACTATCTGGTCTGCAAGCGCCTGTGGCACCACGCTGCGCTTCCTCGCGGACGCCTTCATCGATGTGTACTTGCTAGGCTTGGCTTGCACGACACCAATTTCGACCCGAACGGGGCCACCGATCACCAGATTGACCACGTGCTCACGCGCCTCGCCGTGGCCTACAGGTTCTACCACTCTATCAAGGACGACGGCAGCGTCGACAACTCGTACCACATCCACAAGAACTACATGCAGGCCTCCCGCCTCGCGCTGAGGCTGGGCCCGAGCGCGCACGGCGGTGCCCGCTAGCCATCGATCGACGCGCCTCTCCCAGGGGCTCGTTCGCTCCTCCTCATCATCATTATCATCATCAATGAGCATCATCAATGTCATCATCACCATCGCCATCACCATCAGCATCAGCATCAGCATCAGCATCATCATCAGCAGCATCACCCCTAGTTATCCTCCTCCCTCCTCACTTTTCCTGCTCATCCTCATCCTCCATCCTCCTCCTTCTCATCCTCCGCCCTCTCATCCTCCTTCTGTCCGCCTCCTTCCTGCTGCCCCACCTCTCTGCCTACCCTTCTCGTTCATGAATTGTTTTCCCTGCTCCTCTCAGTGTCCTCCTCCTTCTCCTTCTCCTCCTCCTTCTGCTCCTGCTTACCCCAGCTCGGGTCCACTCCTCCTCAAGGTGAGGGGCACCCTGGTGGTGGATGATCTGAACGGCACCCGAACGCTGCATCACCGAGAAACGGACACCCACCAGATGGCAACCAAGGAAGCGAGCTTCAATCAGAAGTCGCCACCTCAGCTGCGCCTGAATAAATGGCCAGGGCTCGACCGAAGATCACAGGCGCATGTGTCAGACTGCAGGCAGGGACAGGAGCAGAAACTGAGGCAGAGGCAGCAGCACACAGTGGGGTGTCGCAGACGCAGAGGCGGTGGTGTTTGGCACTGCCCGTGGCAGCCGCACCTGCGGCGGAGGCAACAGCAGCAGCAGCAGCAGCAGCAGCAGCAGCAGCAGCAGCAGCAGCAGCAGCAGCAGCAGCAGCAGCAGCAGAAGTGCGATGGTGCAGCGGAAGCGGCACCGCCGACGGCCGCCTCGTCGCTTCACTGCGGCAATTGGTCCCCCTTCAGTCGCGCATCGCCGCCCACGCTCGCCCTGCCCCTCCCGCTCGTCCCCGGGGGCTCCCTCCCCAGCCCGTTCCGCGTCTGAGCCCCGTTCGTCCTCCGAACGGGCCCGCGATCGAGGCCACTCGGCGACCTGGCTCGGCCCCTGTGACCCCGTCGGGGCCCGGGCCCGCCTCCCCCGCGGCGGCGGAGGCGGTGGCCCTCCGCCCCCGCGGTGGCGGAGGAGGTTCCCGTGCTCCGCCCGCGGGGGAAGGCGAGGCTCATGCCAGGGCCACCCCTGCATGAGCGGCTGGTCCCTCTGGGCACGCACGTGCTCACACGCCGAGCGGGGCTCAGACGGGGCGCCCTGGCTTTCCTGGGGGCTCCTCCCAGGACCAGCTCGTCGCCCCCGACCGTGCTCCGGCGGCCCCGGGTCCCCCGCGGAGGGGCCCGACGGCGGGGAGAGCTGGGGGCCCCCAAACGGCGAGGCGACCACACCGTGTGTCAGAGGCGACCATAGGGGCGAGCAGCCCAGGGGGGAGCAATCCACGTATCCAGGGGCGCCGATGATCTGCGTCTGCGGCGAGGCTCCCGGGCGAATGCGTGTAATGCCCGCCCCTGGGCTCTTCGCCCTTCTCGTCGCCGCCGAGTGCGGTGAGTCAGTGGGGGTTCGGGGTCAGTGCACGGTTCTGGGACTCGGGTCGTTCTCCGGGGACGTCTCGGACGACTCGGGCCTCCGAGTTCCCAACACCGTGTAATATGTCAGGCCGCGCGGTGAGGTCGTCGGGGTTCCGAGGTCACCGCGAGGTGGTCCGTCGCGGCACGGTTTTGGGGCCCCGAAGGAAGGCTTCCAGGTCTCGAGGCCTCCCAACTGGGGTCCGAGCAGATGGGGTCGGAGGACCGGGCCGCTTCGCCGAGGCAGCTCGATGTGGAGCCCGATTTTCTCCACGCCGCCGTCGCCTACACGTCGCCCACGTCGCCGATGCATCGGAGGTGCGGTGCGACTCTCCGAGCCCATCGTGCCAGGCCGCCGCTCCAGCCGCTCCCACTCGTATCTCAGGTCGCTCCCAGGGGCGCGAAAAGGATCGCGCTTTGCGCACCGCGGCTTGGGTTGGAGAGGCGCCCTTCTCCAGGGCGGCGGCGCGAGGGCGCGAGAGTAACCGCGCCCCGCGGGGCGCGATGTGCGAAGTTGGACGACCTGGTCTGAGGCCACCCCCCGTCTTCCCCAGGACCGTCAGGAGCGAAAGAAGGACGTGTACGCGTACATGAACCCACGTTGGTTTCGAAATTACGCAGTGCGCGAACGTTTGTATCACGAGGTTGGTCTCGCGGACTGGGGGCAGCATTCACGCACGGTTCATTGCCTCGACATGCCCGTTTCGAAACGCAACACGTACCGTGTTCAAAACGTCCTTGTTGACACGTTGCGTGTTGGTTCCGCATGTTGGCCGAAGCTCCGGCGAACGCGCCGCGCCAGGCGCACGTGTTCAATCTACATACGTGTTGAGCTCCACATGAATACGCCGGGCGTTGCGTGCTGCGTCTCGGGGCTGTGCTCGTGCAGGCGGCTGGGCGCGCACGTCCTCTGTGGGCTCTCTAGACCCTCCCCCCCTCCCGCCAGGCCGCCCCCGCCGCTCCCGCCCACACCGGCGCCTCCGCCGCGGAGGGGAGGCCCCGCGACGGCGGGCGCGGCGGCCCCTCGGCGGGGGCCGCCGACCTCCGCGCGATCCTCCGACCCCGTCTGCTCGGGCCCCGCCTCGGGAGGCCTCCGCGCGCGCCGAGTGGTGCGAGTCGGGCAGGGGGCTATGGGCCCACGAGGGGCGCAGGGAGCCGCACTCGACCGTGTGTCGCCGAGTATGGGGCCTGCTGGACCAGAGGCCCGCCCAGGAGCTCTGTCGCCTCCCCGCTCGTTTCCTGTCCTCCCGCTTTGTCGCTTCTGCGCTTTGGGGTTGTCGTTGCGTCCCCCTCGGCCTCGTCTTCCTCCTCCTCTCCCTCGTCCCCTCGTCGCCCTCCAAAAAAAACGAAATCCGTCGTAACGCTCGGCGGGTGGAAAAAAAAAGAAAAAAAAAAAAAGGCCCGCCCATGAGCGGCTTCGCCATCGAGGCCCCATCGCCGATCTCTCCGGGGACTTGTCGCCGGCTCCAGGTCGAGCGCTGCGCGATGGGGGGGCGATAGAGTGGGGGGGCGAAGGAAGGTGCACCCTCTGTGCCCCGAAGGGCCCCCTGCAGGAGCCCCCAGGGGCACCAAACAGCCACGGAAGGTGCACGCCTATCCCCCCCCACTGTTGTCGCCCCCCCACGGAGCAACGCCCCACCAGGTCGACGTTCCCCGCCCTGAGACGGCCGCTTCCCCCTGTCCGCCTCCGCTTGCTCCCCCGCTCCATCTGAAAGGCGAGAAGAGAAAAAACGGGGCCGACTGCGCAGACATTCGCGCGTAAGCTTCCCGCGCAAGTTCGCGCGTAAGCCCCTCGCTTCCGATGTGCCGCGCCGCGCTGGCGGCCCGCGTAAGCCGCCGCGTGCGGTCGCCATGTCATCTCGCGAAAGACCCGCTTCTTCTCGTTGCCCTCCTGGGCAGAGGTCCTGGGTCACCCCCCAGGGGCGCGAGGGCAGCCGCGCTGCGCGGGTCGCGGTCTGGGCCAGCGAGCGCGCCTTGCTCCAGGGAGGCGGCGCCGGGGCACGCATCCCGGGGCGCGGTGCGCGAAGACGGGTGGCCTAGAGGAGGGAATCTTGGGGCAGAGGCTCAGAAAAAAAGGGCAAACCAAACACAAAAACAAACAAAAAACGTCAGTCCTCGATCCTCCTCCTCCTCCTCGTCCTCGGTTTTCGGGCGACTCGGGCCCTGAGGGCGGCTGGTCGGGACGACCCGGCAGCTCCGGAGGGCTCTCGACGTGGCGCAGCCGATGGAAAGCACCCCAGGGCCCAGAAGCGGTTGGGACACCCCCGAGAACTCGAATCCCTCGCCCTTCGAACCTCGAGGAGGCCAACTTCTCGTGCTTCTCCTCTCTCCTCACAAATCGGCTCCTGGGCCGGGTGTATATTCTAGGCAGAATTTCGAGGCGAATCCAGCCG